AATGCATGCAATGGAATTAATGTGATTGAAATGGTTTAAGATTTGATAATGTAATCAATGAGTTGTAAAGTAAGCTTTTGATATAAATTGTGAAGGGTTGTAAGAGCACCAAGGCATTGTTGGTCCTTGAGTGTCACCCGTGTTTATTAGGTACAAATTGAGGATAGATAACACACTTTTAAAAGTGGAATATGTTAGAAAAACAAAGGAGACTCTAACGAAATTTCTATAAATTGGCAGATTTTGTGTGAACTTTGGGAGATAATATCTCCCTACACAAAGGTCCAATAGGGACGTGCCACACACCATTGTAAAGCTTGAGATGTCAACTACCTTGTGTTAAAATTTGAGAACCATAGGAGTAGAACGCTGTCCTGTAGAAGCCGTGGAACCTAGACTGCCCAAAATCCCCTACACTTAGGGGCTGTCACTGTCGGTTTTTGGGAATATTATTTCCGCTTCATTTCTCGGTCAAATTAGGTGCATGATACATCAAATTTGAGAGTGATTGGTGGAGTGGTTTGTCTGGAATCTTGCAAAAAGTGAGGGTTGTTTGGAGCCTCGTTTGAGGTTGGTTAGCAGATTTGCTTGTCCAACTTCAAACGGTGATATCCGGAGCAAACGAGAACTTTTTGGAGTGTGTGATAGCTTGTTAGAAATATAATTAAGTCTAGAATAACATACTAAAAGATGAGAGGTTCTCGACATGCGAATTTTTCGCAGTAATTAAATAACTGAACCATGTTCAGATAGGTATAAACCGAAAAAGTGAGATTTTGGCTAAGAGAGTTTATGGAAACCCCTTAGTGACTTGAGAGAAGTATTTCATGATATTTAGGCAATTTATATTATTATTCCGCAATGAGTTTTCAGTTACGGTCACCGTTTTTATTTATTACGATTTATTATTATTTTAAATGCTCTCGTAATAAAAAGGAAAAAGTTTACTCGCATTTTTATAAATGAATTGCTGTGATTGTAACTGCGCTTAATATCATAGCCAATGTTAGCAATACCGGTGTACAACGGGTTGTTACAGTTATGATTCCCCACATTTAATGCTTTCATCCTTTGTATGGTTATGATTCACTGCATTTAATGCTTTCAATTATATATATGGCAAGTATTTGATTGTTGCACGTTCAACAGCTGCAGAAATATAAACTCCATATATGTATATATATATAAATGATCCGTTTACAAAATTTTTTTACAAATTACACTAAGTATGGTCGGTCATACACTCTTGATTGAAGTATGACTGGTCATAAGAGTTTGTAAACAAAAAGTTTGTAAATATAACCTTCCCATATATATATATATATATATATATATGAGTCAAGATCATTTTACACCAGTATAAGTTACATTCTCAATCTTGTCCGTTGATCTCACTTATATCTAAGGGCTCAAATTTTTTAGTAATGTGAGCCATTTGATACAAGTTGATCAATGATCGAGATTGAGTGTAAGACTTCTAACTCTTATATCGGTGTAAGAATATCCTACCCCTATATATATATTTATATAATCATTAATGTAGTATCACTCATCAGCTTAAGTTTTTGAGTTGAATTGATTCTTTATATAGTATCAGAGCCTCGGTGTCACAGGTTCGATCTTCACCGCTCTCATTTAATTAATAATTAGTTAAGTATTGTAGAGTTTTTTAGCACAAGTAGGTGAGCTGTGCATTATCCATCATTCGAGCCCAATAGACGCACATGTGAAGGGGTGTGATAACGAATAGTATAAATTATTAAAAAGACCTTCACTTAATAACTTAAATTTTTGGGTTAAATTAGATCTTTACAGGTTAATTCATATTTTACACACAAGTATTGTTATTTAGTATTAAGTGCATCGTAAAAATTTGACTACAATAATAGAGGAAATGTATATGAATACATGAGCAGCCAAAACATCGACTGGATTTTCCAATTTACTACCACCTTGTCACTTCATATTTGTGAAACTCTTACGAAAATGATTTCATACACATGAGCATTTTCCTTTTGAAAATACTATAAGTGGTCCTTTTTTTGGTTCAAATGAAGAAAAGTGGTTTTTGATTATAAAATATTCCATAATTCAAAAAGACCATATTTTACACAATTAAATATATCCAAGATTAATTAAAGTTCGGGATTTTAACAAAAAAATTTTAGACAAGATTGAATTTGGTGAAATTTCGAATTAAATTAGCAATCACACTATCTTGAATGATTATACGTTCTTGAGAAAATATTAACAAAATCAAATTGGGTAATTGTTTATAATTTCAAAAGTATTGTTGGAAAAAAAGGATAAGAAATTATAACCACTATACAATGTTCTGCTATCTATACACCTAAAAGCACGCGTAAAATGTTTTGAATTATTTTCTTCTACGGGTTTTATTTTAGAGATACAATATAGAGATATGTTTATATTTACAAAAAAATTTGTTTATAAACTACACTATGTCTGATTGGTCATACTTCAATTAAGAGTGTATAACCAGTCAGACTGATTGTAATTTGTAAACGGATCTTTCCCCTACATTATATATATATGGGGTAGGATATTCTTACACCAGTCTAAGAATTAGAAGTCTTACACCAAATCTGAATCATTGATTTACTTGAATCTAACGGTTCAAATATTTAATAAATTAGAACCATTAGATAGAAATAGGATCAACAATCAAGATTAAGAGTGTAACTTACACTGGTGTAAAATGATCCTGACCCTATATATAAATATTATATATATATATATATATATATGTGTGTGTGTGTGATAAGTTATTCTACCTACCTTTGCCTACCACTCTCCAACACCGTTAGATCAGAATCTCAAGAAGAGAGAGAAAGATAAGTGTTAGTTAAGATTATGATCTAATATATATACATAGTTCGTTTTTTCTGCCGTTAATGCAGCTGCATTTCGCCTTAAACAACGTCGTTTTGGGCGAAAATCAAGTTGTTTTTGTAATTTTAATTTATTTCAGGGTTATAATATTATTTTTAATTAAATTTTTTTAATATTTCAACACCAAAATGACGTCGTTTTGAGAATAAATGCAGATAACTTATTGCAATAATTGCAGAAATATTTTTCCGATATATATATATATATATATATATATATATATATATTAAATATTGCAATCGGTTCATTACTTCATGATTAATTCGATTCGGAATGGGTCCACTATTAAAGCTTCAAACTCCTTCCAAATGTGGTATTAAAACTTTAATCCTGGATTAAAGCTTTAAACTCCTTCCAAATGTGGTACTAAAACTTTAATACTGGACCCGCCCCGAATCGAACTAGTCGCGCGAAGAGATGAACCGCAATATTTAAAAAAAAAAAAAAAAAAACATCACGAAACAATTATGCGACTGAAAATGGCAACACCACAAATTGTGGTGGTCATTTGCTTATTTCGAACCGTATGTCCTGCATAGGCCTATATTTGAAATTCTCAAAAACTTGTATTGAGCTCGTCTCCTAAAGAAAAAAATGATCCCAGACTATGTCTTACAAATCCCCCCCCTAGCATTCTACCTCTTTTGAAACCATGTATGGGAATCAGAGAGCTAGGTCCCATTCTTCATTGGCGACAAAAGGTAAAATTTCCTTCTCACGGAGCCCACTCACTATTTTGTTTTAATGTCATGCAATACCGATTCGATGCGCATCACAAAATGAGTGTGCCTGTAAATAATTGTTTCCAGTTTAGGAATATCGGAATGTTTGGGTTGTGTGCGCATTGGGGGAAGCAAGAGTATGACGTAAAATTTGTCTAGGGGTTTTAGCAACTTAAGTTTTGTTTTTTAATCTATACCCTTTTTTTTTTGGGTAATCATAATGGGTTTTATTAGTATTATGTAACATAATGTAAATGTTGTTTCCAACTCTCACATCAAAAAGGAGAGAGAAAGTGAAATGATGAAAGAGAAAAAAAACATGTGGACCCCACCTCTTTAATGTATGTGTAGGAAAGTGAAGTTATATTATGTTAAATGATGAACATAAAACTCAATCATAATCTATACCTTTTTCTTTTTTTGTAATAATAATCTATACCCTTTTACTTATATATGTTGATTGTTTTGTTATCATTGTTTTTTTTTTTTTTCATATCTTATTTAGTGAATATGATTTCGATTTTGCGAGGGGTTCTTAATGGAATTTTTTTGGTAACCTGGTTCTTAATGGATTTAATTTGCTACATTTGAGGTTCTTATTAGGGATGAACTAATTTCCACCTTCAATGTCAAGAAGCAGAGAAATAAATCGGATCAAACTAGAATTCTTATAAAATCGAAACAATTATGGGTTAATTAATGTCAGTATCGTATTGGAAATAAATTTTTTGGGAGAGGAGAGTATAAAAGTGTGTATCATTTTAAGTGAGAGAAAATGATAGATAAAGGAAAAGAGAGTGGACAAAAAAATATAAAAGTATGCATCTCAACTCTTTATGAGAGTGAAAGGATATAAGTTGTGTCATAATACCAACACTTTTCCAAAAAACATTATTGTTTTATGGGTTTTATTAATGTTATGTGACATAATATAAGGGTAGTTTCCAACTCATACAATGATAAAGAGAGAGAAAGTGGAATGATGAAAGAGAAAGAAAAATATATAAATGTGTGTATAAGAAAGTGAAGTTATATTATGTAAAATAATAAACATAAAATTCTTATTTTATATATTAAAACTGATGAACACTCAGATATGAGTACGACCATACAATATATAAGCCAGATATAAGCCACTCAAAGGGTTCAGAGATAATGTTAGCCATAATAGGTCCTAACATATACTTAAGCTTGAGTTACAGTCCAAGCAAAAGCGAAACAAACCTACATCAAAAGACAGACTTATATAGGGCCCACTTTATGGGGCCTACACGACATTTAAACTTAAAAACATAACATAAAAAGACAAATAACATAGGCAAACATCACATGACATCACAGATCCACATCAGCCGCAACCCCACCTTATGGCTTTCCATAGACCTCCTCCATGGGATCAATTTCCTTCTTCATCTGAACTTTAGGCACCACGTTATCCATCTTCACTGCAGCCTCATAATCCATTGTGCTATCTCCCACCACAGAGCCACTTGCAATTTCAAAAGCATTGACCGGCACGTGAGTCCAGCCATCTTCACCATCCTCGTCCACGTGACCACCCATTTGAGAAGCAAAATCTTCAGAGCTAAAGGTTCCCTCTGAGCTCTCATAACGAACATGAAGGAGACCCATTTCACTGCACTCCTCATCCCTTATGTTCATCATGCTCATTGATTTCTTCAACTCCTTCTCAGCTTCTTCAGCAGCAGTGACTTTCTTGATGTAGTTCTGAAGCAGTGTTCCCTTAGAACTAGTGCGAGTTTTCTTCTGCTTCTTTGAATACTGGCGGCGCTTCGTTGCGTTCCAATGGTTCTTGATGGTGTTCTCAGTACGCCCTGGCAATCTCTTTGCAATCTCTGCCCACTTGTTTCCAACTTCCTTATGAGCTTCAATGAGAATCTTGTCCTCCTCTTCGTTCCATGACTCCTTCTGCATTCATACAAAACAATGTTTCCATATAACCTCAAATCAAGCACCTTCTAAAGCAATTCAGATACCTTCATACACATATTATATTATGGATTTAACATTTTTCAGACACAGAGAACACGTGTCCTCTTATTTTTAAAGATTATGTAATAGGAATAATATATAAATATAATATAAAAAAAATTTCTTTCAACGTCAGCTAAAAGTAAAATAGTGTTAAGAACTACTTGGGAGACAGAATAAAAAGAGCAACTTTTTCTATTATTACTATGTACTAAGTGTTAAAAACTAAAATGACACAATTTATGTTATTTAAAAATACAAACACTTTTTTCTTATATTATATATAGAAATATAGTTGTATACTTATGATCAAATATAAAAATAATATGTATTTCTTTTAATTAAATATATATGTATGTTACGCCATATTATCAGCTATATAATAAGAACAAGTGTCAAAAGAAAATAAATGTCAGTTATAAATTTTCTTTACCATAAAATCATATATCTATGATAATTTAGTTGTGTTCAATATTTAATTCAATATAAAAATTCATGACTTTTTTTTTGAATATTTATCTTACAGAAAATATATATTTGTGTAAGAAAAATAAATATCAAATGTTAAATATGACATGAACCGATTAGATTTGAAACACGAATAAATCTTTAGTACTACTGTTGTACCTAAATTCAGTGCATCTCATCAATGAAAATATTACATGTTAGCTAAAATTCTGTTTTTTCTGTCAGATTTTTTCTCTCTCCTATGATGTGTAATGCTCTCATTGATGAGATGCACTGAATCTAGGTACAATAGTAACAAAGATTTATTCATGAAACAGGGGCACAGGACTAAAAGTTGATCAAAGATAAAATGAGGATGGAAAGGGAAGAAAACCCTAATGTTGGGGCGGAGATGATTGTGCCATCTCTCTCTGCACTGTTTCCCAACCCTGCCATTCAGTAACTTGGCGATGTGGGCCCATTTTTTCAGTCCGAAGCGGTTCACTAATTGGATGAGAACCCTGCAAAAACACAGAAACACACACACACAAAATTAAATCAAATTAAATTAAATGTTCAGCATCATTTGTGAACGCCGAGGAAAAATTTCGGCAAAACATTAACAAACGTCACTCGAGACGAGATTGCTCAAAGGGAAAAATATTAGTACACATCTGTTGAAACCATAAACAAATAAAATTAAATAAAATTGAAAATAGAAAAAAAAATGTATACATGTCCTCATGTGGAGTCCACTGGCCTTTGATTATGTTGGCAAGCTTGTGTTGAAGTCTAGCACTCTTTTTCATCAGCACCCTCCTCTGATTCAGTTCAGGAATAAAAGGTTTCTGATCAGTTTTCCAGTGAGCAAGTCCAGTTCCTGCAAAAGATGAATTCTGATCTTGAAGCCTAGGCTTCATTGGCACTGATCCATATGGATCATAAACTAGTGATGCTGGCATCAAGGGACTCATATGAGTCTGTGAACTTGCACCAAACTGAAAGGGATTTTTCTGGGAAACATCCCAAGGACCCTTTCCATTGTTGAGGTAACCATGCATGCCTTCCATGTTTGGTGCATACCCCATTGGGTAGAACCGGTTTGGAGCCATGTATGGGTCACCAGAAGATCTGGTTGGGATCAGGAATGGGTTCATGGAGGATGGAACCTCCATGACATGAGCAGAGTGATTGTGGTGGTGATAGTTAGCACCATTCAGAGGATGGTGCTCAAAATGGTTGAAATTGTTCTCATACATGAAGGTGTTGTTTGGTGGTGGTGGTGGTGCAGAAAGAATTGAGGTTTGCTGCAATGGAATAGTACTGGGTATGATCTCGGATTTTATGTAGGGATTTTCCTGGAAAATCCCAGAAAGGTAAGGAAATTTCTCTTGCAAGCTTGGATCGAACTCCATGCAAGCAAGCAAAAAGGCAGAGAGAGAGATTGTTGCGTAAGAGGATGACTGTCTGAAAAATGTATGAAGAAAAAGGTCCGGGTCTAGAGGCTCTTATGGACTCTACTACTGAAAAAAAAAAAAATTGAAAATAAATAAATAAATAGAGTAAGGCAGTGAAGCTCATGTGACACGTGACACCGTTGATGAAACAGCATCGAACGGCTGAGACTCGTTGTCTTTGTGACTGTTCAGCTTCCACTCTTTAGTAGTGCAATTGAGAAAATGAGTTTTTTATTCACTTCTTTTTAAATTGATAACTTTTTGTTTATCCATTCTTTTTTACTGATGTTTTTATTATATAAAAAAAGGAAAGTGAAATGATGAGGTTGTTACAAAATTTTATATTTTAGGGAATGCTTAGGACAAATTACAAGCACATGAATGACATGAGGTTGCTTCTCTGATGATTAATGAGACCAGTGAATCAGCTATATTACCTTCTTTATTAGGACAATTATCATAAAATCTAGAGCTTGATATGCTAATGAATTATTAAAAATTATATGTATGATCACGCTTTTGGTGTTGGAAATGGCCCTGATTTGGTTTGACACAATTAAAACTTGGTTATGTACGTGTTTCTCTTTCCATTTAAAATATCATTTACATGCATTTACTTGCCATCGTCATTTAATATCAATTTTGCAAAGATTCTCCTTCCAAAGTTATAAAAATCAAAAAGGTAAGAGAAAAAAACTATACTTAAAATAAATTTTTGTTATTTTTTTTATTCAGTGAGTCAAAGAAGAGGCATAGGTTCTTAACTGATTACCCTTATAATAAGGAAAAATGATGCATTATATATACATTGTTTCTGAGTTTTGAAAACAGTTGGTCAAAAAATGTTTAATTAAAATACACTCATTTTATATCTTACAAGTACGAAATATTTGCTATTGGTGACCAAATTCAATTTATCAAATTTAAAGAGAAAGCCTTATCAAACAACTAATATAATAAAGCAAACATCAAACATCAGAATTAGAATTAACATTTATTTATTTATTATATATAAAATAAATAATTACCATTTATTAAAGAAAAAAAGTATCTAATGTTACTTTAGATAACTTTGTCTAATATTCATTGAAACGACGTCATTTTGGATTGAAAAATAAAAAAATTAGAATGATAAAGACTATTATAACTCTGAAATAAATTAAAAATACAGAAACATCATGATTTCCGCCCCAAAACAACGTCGTTTCTGTAAATATTAGATAAAGTTATCTAAAGTAACTTTAGAAAAAGCAAACCCTTTATTAAATTGAATTCTATTTTAATTGGAAATTTTTCCCAATTTTGTAACTATCTCATCATGATTGTTTAATTTCACTTCTCCTCAATTAGTTTGTGTGTGTGTGGTGGATGGTGTTGCAAAGTACTTCACCTTAAAATGTGAGAATCAACAATTTGCTTTTTATACTTTTTAATAGATAAAAAGCTTTGCTTTCTACAGAAAATAAGGAGACTTTTAAGAAAACACCAAATCATATATGGTAAGAGAGATAGTATTCCAGTTCAGAAATTGTCAATACCTCACAATGCACCTTGTGAGAGGTGCATATGAACAAAATGACCTTAAATGGCATTATAATCAATTCCAGGTTTTGGGTCTTAAAGAGTGAGGGTAAGTTCACGAATTTTCAGAAGTCTATAACCATATTCTGTCTTATTGATAAATTATAAAGTGATTGAAGGGCTGTGTTGAAGCCGTGAGCGTGCTATGTGAAGTAAATAAAGAAAACACTAAAGGTATATATAAAAAAAAAAAAACACTAAATGTTGTAACTGACTACTGAATTTTTTTATTTTTTTTTTAAGACTGACTACTCAATTTTTGCTATTTCTTCATTGGTTGCTTATTTAATGACTTTTCATAAAAATAATTTAATGAATTCAATTTAATTTTAAAATATTAATTGAAAATGATTAAAAAAAAGTTTTATTTATTTATTATCTTTTGTCTTTGACCACATCCTCTTTAATGTCGTCTTAAAAGATTTTAACTCTTGATGTATTAGGTAAGATTTACTTGATATCAAGATTTACCTGATATTAAAAACTTTAACACTGAGCCTGTCCCGAACGGTATTACTTCCAGTGGAGGATACATGTGGATTATGAGAAAAAAAATTACAAAATTTAGTTAATTTATGGAGGTATTGATCCATGTTGCAAACTCAAACACTTAATTATGCAATAAATTCAAAATTTTATGGTGTCAGAAAGTGTTGACTCTATTTTTCACTCCAATGTTTATGAAAAAGATAAGAGCATTTTAATAAATAATAATATTGACTACTCTGTTAAGTAACAGCTCTTATAGCACATCATATAGTTAATTAAAATTTTAAAAAATATATTTTATTTACAGTTGCTTCCACCAACTCAAATTTTAAGAAATGCCCATTACAAAGTAATTTTTGGAGGAGAAGAAGCACAAAAATGGAGCTGCAGATAACAATCTTGTTTATTTGTACGGATTAAAAATTATTATTTTTTATACATGCAAAAATTATTTAATTCTGTCTTTTAATTAAAAATTCTCAATAAATTTAATTTACAAGTCGAATAACTCGTTTGGTTTTTATTTTATTTTTTTTTCCTTTTATCTTTTAGAGCTATTTCTATAGAGAAAGGTTATACTTACAACCTTTTTTTTTACAATCTCTTACAATCATATCTTAACACCGTTGATTTCCGTCAATCAACGGTTATCATTTATTGTGAATTAATAATTAATTAATGAGTTTAATTTGCAAAAATCATAACCGTTGATTGGCGAAAATCACCAGTGTTAAGATATGGTTGTAAAAAAAAAAGTTGTAAGTATAACTTTCTTCATTTCTATAACTCATTCTGGTTGTGTAGTTTTCTTATTTTGTTTTGAGTAAATCCCCAAATTGTTCCCTGACAAAAAACTCGATACCCAAATTAGCCCCTAACAAAAATAAATTCGTTGGATAGTCCCCAACAAAGACAAACAGGACCCACGTTAGTCCTTTTGTTAGTCTAAAATTGACGGTGCTGAGGTGTAACGTTAAGGGACATGTTGAACGCCACATTGGACCATGAACGACGTCGTCTGGTAAGAGGGGATCCATTTTGCTCAGAATCATCTTTGTTTAAACCCAAAATTGCCCCTCACTTAACCGTTGGTCACTTTACCATTTCCGTCTCCTGCAACTTCGACGTTCCATTGTTGAGAAAGAAGACGATCGTTCTGTAAACATTCGCCTGCGTTTGGATTGCAAAGTTCTTCAACAATCGGAGGGAACCGGTGGAAGAAATACCTTTGGTTTGGTGTGAGGCTCAACGTTCCGTACAAATGACCCAATTGAACGTTGTCCTTCCCTCTCAATTTCTTCAAAGGAACGCCGTCGTATGGTTTAGGGTTCTTCTTAAACCAGAGAGAAATGGATTGAATCGAAGATTGAAGGTTTGAATTTGGGGATTACTGATTTAGGGTTTATCCTCAATTCTTTTAGGAGAGGGAGCTGAAGTCCTTGTAGTTCATTTGGGTCCAGAAGTGAAAGAATGAGAGCTGCTCCATTGTGTAAATGTGGGAGGCACAGTGTTGTTTACACCTCCAAAACCATTAGAAACTCAAATAGAGCATTCTTTGAGTGCCCCAATTTCAAGGTGAGGTATTTTTTGCATGCGTTAACTGTCTAATTTGAATGTTATTAACAATTTGGTTTAATTTGGTGTTATGAAAAGAAGCCACACTGCAACTTTTTTACATGGGTGGATGATGCTACATCTGATACCATGGAGCTGGAAGATTGGAGAATTAATAAGCTGGAGTTGAATGTAGCTGAAATGAAATTCAAGTTGAACTTTGTGGACATGAAGATCAATGATGAACTACAACTGGAGGTGAATGACCACAAAAAGAAGATTAATGAGCACCATATAAAGATTGATGAACTATCAATGAAGATGCAACAAAGTTTGAAAGGGTGGAGAAGAAAATTAAGCATGTGTGTAGGTGTGCTAGGGTGTTTGCTGGATCTATTATTGTTGTGTTTCTAGTATGTATATATCTTGCAAGTAGGCTGGAGTGAAATAAAATATATGGTTCTGTAGAGATTTGCTGGTGTAATGAATTGTTGTTCATGCAATGTATGTAGCATGGCTTATGTATTTGAAGTTATGTTTATTGGAACAAAATGTTGTATAAACTCGATGAAGATAAAAAAAAAGGAATGGAAACAATGTATAAACACTAAACTAAGAATGTGATGGTGTGAATTATGCAGAAGTTGATTGTGTTAGGCATGACTAATATCAGCATGTATAAGGGGAAATGACATTGCTGGTGTGTTAATAGTAAATGGTGGCACTTGTGTTAACAGAACTTTATTAGGGACTAAAAAGGACCCCGATAAAATTGTTAGGGACCATACTGGTCCCCTTTGTTAAAAACCAAGGACTAAAGAGGTCCTCGATAAAAAAATGTGGAGGACTTGTAAGGGAACTTAAAAAGCATACGGATGGTGAGTGCAGTTAAGCAACACATGACCCTTAAATGGACACATCAAACAGAACAAACATACCATTGTTGACAAAAACCAGAAAGTGTATCAACAGATAGATGGTTTGGACCAACATTTAAAAATTGTAGCATTGAATACAGTCATGACAGTAAAGACAGATAGTAACCAAACATTTTGCATTCATTTCATCACATATCAGTTACAACTACTAACCATGGCCAACATGCCACAGTCATACAAAAAAATCCTACTGACATCTTTCTATGAAGGCCAATACATATGTGTTCCAAAAAAGCATAATGTTCCTACTAACTATGGCCATGACCAGAGGCATACAAAAAATGGCCTAATGACATATTTGCACAGGGCCAATACCGAAGTATTTCCAAAAAAATACACTAATTACAATTCCAATCAATTTCTATATCTGAGGCATCCAAAAAATGGCCTAATTTT